TGAGTTTTGGATCATTTACCTAAAGCTTATTCGAACTCGGGTTGAGCTTGAATCAAGTTGTTATCATAATGTTCAAGCATACCTTTGTTTAAATCTATACTTGCTCGGGATTGATTTGAGTTCAAGATTGTTTAAAGCTCATTTTATGCTAACCAAGTTGCTCATTTATAGCTCATTTTGTGCTTCACCAGCCTTAAATTTGTAGCTCGTTTAGCCTCAATTTAAGCTTTATTGAGCTTAGAATATTAAATTTTATTTGAAGAAAATTTTTAAAAGCATATTTTAGTTTTATTAAATCTTTTTAAAATTTACAAAATTCACTTTAAAGCATATGCAGCCAAATTCAACAAGTATATACGGCTGCCTCCTCACGCAGCTAAGCTTGTTACTACTAGCTTGTGTTTTGCATTTTGTAAAGACTACTTAAAAATTCTTCATGATTTGATACCAAAAAAGTTATGTGAATACTAGATAGGGAGATAGGCTGCAAAATTGGGTATTATAACAGTTAAAGAACATAATTTTTTTATATTATAAACCTTATATTTTATCATAAACATTATTCTTATTCTAACTATATTTATATTTGTATATTTATATTATAATTTTGAATTTTAAATATATTTAACATTCATATATGTCCATTTATAATATACAAATATTTATATTCGCATTAATGATTAATGGATCTTTGTGTCGAGCTTTAATAGTTTATTCATGATCATTAATAAATCAAATTGAACAATGAGCTCTTCAAGCTTGTTTTATTAGTTAATGGATCGATCACGAATGAGCTCTAAAGAAGGTGAACTATGAGTATCTTATCAAATGTTTAGTTCATTTGTAGCCTTAGTCTCTAAGACTTATATTTATTGATGAAGTTGAATTTAAAAATACCCAACAAGAAGGCTTTATTTTGAACTTCAATCTGAATGTTAACTAACTAGTGCTATTTTTCTTTTGCTAATATAATTTGATGTAGAAAAAGCATATGATAAAGTTTCAAGAGAAGTGCTATGGAGAGTTCTTGAAAAGAAAGGAGTCAATAATGCTTATATTCAAATCATTAAAGATATGTATGTAGGAGCTATTACTTGTGTTCAAACACAAGGTGGATTGACCAAGTATTTCCCTATTTCGGTTGGGTTACATCAAGGATCAGCCTTAAGCTCATATCTTTTTGCTTTAGTCATGGATGTTCTCACTAGACATTTGCAAGAGGATGTACCTTGGTGTATGCTTTTTGCTGATGATATTCTTCTTGTTGATAAGACTAGAGAGGGAGTTGAAGGTAAACTTGAATTATGGAGGTCAACATTAGAGACTAAAGGTTTTCGCTTGAGTAGATCTAAAACAAAATATATGGAGTGTAATTTTAGTCGTAATAGACCTAAAAGTCGCCTTAGATGGTTTGGTCACATAAAACGGCGGCCTTGCGATGACCCGGTTAGGAGAGTAGAGGTATTAGATTTGACTTATGTTAAGAAAGGTAGGGGTAGACCTAAAAAGACTTGGTTAGAAAATATTAGGAATGACCTTTCTTTATTAGATTTAAACGAGAATTTGACTTTTAATAGGACACAATGGAGAAAAAGGATTCATGTAGCCGACCCCACGTAGTGGGATAAAGGCTTGATGTTGTTGTTGTTGTTGTAATATAATTCGTGCCTTTGTTTATACCATTATTATGCAATTTTATGGGAGTTATTATAACGGTAAGGCTAATGGTAATGATGATATCTATGGAGTTATGTTTAAACTTTTTTCTAATGCATTTAACTTGGAGATGATGGAGGATTCACGTTTCTAAGTTGGATTTATCCATATGCTTCCAAAATGCTTCATGTTGATGCTTATTCTACCCTCTATATTTAGTAATGCAAATCATTGCTTAAGATTGTCAGAAAGATTGAGCTTCTTGATGAAATTTCCTAGCATATTGATAGACCGGTCCAGCCGGTCCATACGGGACTGGCTCACGTTAAATGGGGCGGAACTCTTCTGCCCCCTGTAGGCGCCGAACACAACCGCAAGCCACAGGAGCCGATTTTGGAAGGATTTTGGAAGGAATTTTAGGAGGGAAATTGAATGAAGGGATTGTTTAGGGATTTCCTTTTGACCTGTATGCATTAAATAGTTTGTTTTCCAAGCGGCGTCTAGAGATTTGGGAGAGATCGGTCCTCCTTTCGAATTGAGGATCAATTGTATCTTGCTATTTTATGTTTTCCTTTCATCAAATAATACAAATTATCTACTATTTTCGTGATTTTGAGTGGACTTTTGTGAAGAATTCCCACTGTTTACCGAAGAGTGATAGGAAATACTTGAGATCTACAAGTGTTTCCTATCAAATTGATATCAGAGCAAGTCTTGGGACCATTCGTGGGCTATTTTTGACGAATTTCAGCGGCTAATTTTTGGTTGAGAACGGATGAAGTGCTGTTTTTGTAATCCAAATCCAAAATTTTTGGATTTACAAAAATTCGGATCGAGATGGTGGCCAAGAAAGTTGATACGCTAGAAGAAAGGCTTGAAGGGGAGATGAACCAAATCAAGACAACGGTGGAGGAAAGGATTTCCTCCATGGAAGGACAAGTAACCGATCTCTGGGACATGATGTAGAAAATGTTGGAAATCCACAAGAAAACAACGACTTCCATGGCAAAAGAGGAGGAAAGAAAAAATACGAATTTAGAAATTCGTAGGGTGAAAGATGAGATGGAAATCATGGAGGGAGAAAGAAGAAAACCCTTTTTGGAGCCTTTCCAGAGGGAGGATAGAGGAGGTTGGTATGGGGAAAGGCATGAGTATGGAGGAACGGAGCAAAGGGTGCTGATTGGGAACGTCGGGAGGGACATTATGGTCGCCGAGGTGTTGATTTTGATGGAAGAAAAGGGGAATTTGAAGGGGGTTTGGGCTATGGAATGGCAAGGGAAAACCGGGAGACATGGGGTGGGTCGAGCACTTGAGAGAGGGGAAGCTATGGAGGAATAAGGGGGAATGGTGGAGATCAGAAGGTGAGGAAGGTGAAGATGCCTATCTTCGAGGGAGAGGATGCTTATGGGTGGATCTATAAGATGGAGCGGTACTTTGTCGTTAATGGGCTAATGGAGGAGGAGAAGCTGACAACAGCAGGCCTATGTTTGGAGGGGAAGGCACTGTCATGGTACAAGTAGAGAGACCAGAGGAGATCTATCAAGGACTTGAGGGAATTCAAGAACTGCATAATAGAATATTTCCAAACCGACTGGGGTGGAGATTTCTATGAGCAGTTTTTTGCTCTGGCACAGGAGGGATTAGTAGCAGACTACCGGGAGCAGTTTGAGCACCTAGCCAGTACTGTGGAGCGATTATCAGATATAGTATTGGAGGAGAACTTTATGAAGGGGTTGAAAGTAGAGATCCAAGCAGCAGTGAAAGTTTTGATGCCCAGTGACTTGGGGGAGGCCATGAAGTTAGCACAGTTGGTGAAAAATCAGAAGAATCTGGAGAAGGGGGCCAGGAGCAGTAGCTTTGGAGGCTCTTACAAGACGACGACCCCTTTTCTAGCACCCAAGGGGCCTGCATCAGGCAACATTAATGAGACCACAAGGGAGAAGCCAGTAGGAGGAGGGAGTGGGGAAACTTTTAAGAGTCTGACAGAGAAGGAGATACAGGAGAAGATGGCAAAGGGGTTGTGTTTCAGGTGCGAGGAGAAGTATACGCCAGGACATCGGTGCAATGACCGAACTCTTCAGGTTCTCATCATCTGTGATGATGAGAAAACTGATGAGGGAGGTGAGGGGTTGTTTTAGGAGAAATTGCATTTGGATATGACTGAAGTTTCCCTGAACTAAGTGGTAGGATTCACTACGAATCATACCTTGAAGGTGAAGGGGGAGATAGAGGGCAGGATGGTGGTGGTGTTAATTGGTAGTGGGGCTACCCATAATTTCATTTCCACTCAAGTCGTCGACCAATTGGGAGTGAAATTGGTGGATACCGGTTGTTATGGGGTGATGATGGGTACAACGAAGCTGAAGAAAGGCCAGGGAATCTGTAGAGGAGTGGTGTTGACTATCTAGGGGATTTAGGTAAGGGAGGACTTTATCTCACTAGAGTTAGGAAGTACTGATGTCATCCTGGGGATGAAGTGGTTGCAAACCTTGGGAGAAACCAAGGATAATTGGGGAGCACTCACGATGGAATTAATAGTGGAGGGGAGAAAGGTGATTATAAGGGGAGATGTCGGGCTATCCAAAGCCATGGCAACACTTAAGACCATGGTTAGGAGCCTACAAGAGGTGAGGGAAGATTATCTCGTGGGACTACACAAGCTGGATGGGATCAGGATGGAGGAGGGAGGGGATGTTTCTCTTTCAATGCAGCCCTCGGTTCAGCAATACAGTTAGGCTTTTCAGTCACCTCAAGGATGGCCACCTCTCAATTGTATCTTGCTATTTTATGTTTCCTTTCAACAAATAATACAAATTATCTACTATTTTTGTGGTTTTGAGCGGACTTTTGTGAAGAATTCCCCTGTTTTCCCAAGATTGTTAGAAAATACTTGAGATCTACAAGTGTTTCCTATCACATATCCACTGCAACAGACATTTCATTTGTGCTTGGTGTAATTGGCCTTATATTTTGAAAACTTTCAGTACGATACTTACTTGAACCCAAAAAAAACCTTCCATTGCATTCCAAAAATTTCTTAATTAAGGATCAAAAAAGGACGTGCAAATCAGTTTAAGTGAAGTAAAGTGGATTAGGTTTATACAAGGATCTTGCAATTAAGATTCTATAAACTTCTGATTTACACCTCTTAATATCAATGGATGATTCCTTGTGTTTATGAATATGTTTTACCTTAAATTTCACTTTGAGCAAGAAACCATATCCGATGGCCATTACAAGTTAAAAATTTTCTTCAGCTTTTCTGATAACTCTTTTACATAAGTGCCCAACTCATTTATGTATTAGCTGCACATCTAATGCACATGCACTGATATGCATAGCAGGTGATAAGCTGTTCTTATATAAGGGACATTATGTGAATTGTGGCATTCCCAGGACAATATCAGCTGCTGGGCCGGGTAAAGGTGGGGTATTGGAAAGACCAACAATAGAGAGAACTACCCCTGGTCGAGAATCTGAGTTTGACCTGAGGTACTTGCATCAACCTGACTTATTCTTCATTGCTATTGCAGCTATTATTTGATGATTATAGATTCTAATAATTGGTTTTCTTTGTCATTCTCTTAAATTATGTCTAATCACAATCAGTATAAGACTTCTCGTTTATTTATGCATTTTTACCAGTAAGGTTAATGATTCCTTTTTTGGTAGGCCTTGACTTATGCTCTAGGCCTTGGATACAAAGTTCCATGCAATGAGAAGAGAGAATGCATGGTCTTGTTAATTTCATATGATGCTTTGGATGATCACTCATACTCATCATCATTTGCTTCATCCCAACTAGTGTGGACATAATTCTAATTTTTTATTTTTTCATAGATATTGGAGTTATTTTATGTTCTATAAATTTTATTATTTTATTTAGATTTATCTAATAAATGTTATTAAATTCGTTAGCAATTTGATAGTAATTTATTAGCAATTTGTTAATTTGTTAGCAATTAGCAGTTTATTATTTCTCATCTCTGTAAGTATGGGAATTCCAAGTCACTTAAGATGTGGATATGGAGATTCTTCATATATTTTAAGATTTCTGCCTTTGATCAAGTGTGAAGCCTAAAGAATTTTAGGAGAGATTATCTTGTAATACTAGTGTAAGATTTGCTTCTCTCTTTACTATATCAATCCTTTTTTATCATTTCATCTTCTCAATTACCTATTTTAGTTTTTCATATCAATGCATATAGATTTAGCAACAACATTTTATCAAAATGATTGATCTCGTCCTATTTATTTTGATTTAACGCATTCAACTCTTTTTAAGTAAAAATATTATAGCATTCAAAAAAATCTTTCGAACTATAAATCCAATTTTAAAATTTCTCTAACATTATACCTCTATTTTGATGTAGGAATATAATTTTGAATCAAATGATTTTGTAATTGTTTAGTCCATGTGTAAATCTAGGCTATAGCCTACTTGATTTCATTTAAAGTGTGGAAAATTATTATATTATTGATTGACCTAGTTCTTTTATCATACTTCAGTTAATAATAATGTATCTTTAAACTTTGATATCAAATTTGATGTAATATATTTTAGGGTCTAAGGTTCTCTAATGCAAGCATATGATATAATTCACAGATTTATCTTCTCAAACTCTAATTTGTATTTCACAATCTATCAATTTAAATAATGATTCGCCTCTTTAGATGAAAATAAAAAACATGTATAATCCACACAAAAGTGTGACCTCTACAAGCCGTTGAACTCACATATACAAAAGTGTTGACATCTATTCATAGGCAAGGGACTTATAATGAACGTGATAGCTAGCTTGTAGGCGAGAACAGAGAACTTGCAACAAACACGGCAGTTCATTTATGGGAAAGAATAAGATGTTGGTTTCGAACTTTCGATTGAACACATATAACTATGAAAAATTGAAACCTCAGCAACATTAAAAAATATAAAAGGATTTAAATTCACCTCCAAAACACGCCACCAGATCTGTAATGCACATACAAACAAACATAAAGCATACTTTAGGTTTCAAAGTGAAAAGTTGTGCGCATTCCAACGTCCAACACTTGAGCTAATAGTAAAACTTTAGTATTTTAAAACCTCGCATGCATCAAAATATAAATTTTTAAAATTTAAGCGCACTGCCTTGAGAAGTGTGTCACTACTTCAAGATGCTTGCAACAGCCTTAGGAAGCATACGACAGCCTAAGAAGTGTGATATCATCTCGAGAAGTATATCACTGTCTTAAAAAGCATCGAGCACATCAAAGAGAATGCACGTCATTTAAAAATAAACTTAAATTCTTAGTATGTGCTCCGGTAAATGTGCTTAAGGCCCAAACACGAAAGTCTGAGAAGGCTACACAGGGTTAAAAGCGAGCTAATTTAAAATTTTATTTTTTAAAGCAATTACCCGAATGTGCTCCGGTCGTAGAATCAAACCTCTAAATCCATGGTTCGAGAAGGTTGCTGAAATAAAATAGAAATTTAATTTTCAATTCAAAACCTCCTTGAAAGCACTGGAGTCGAAATGAATTATATCAATAAGTGAATACATGATCATAAAAATTCATCATATTTAATTTTAAGTTCACATTATTCAATGCATCTTTAAATAAAATTTGTATAAAAATATAAGCTATCGATTTCAACGTTTGTATCACAAGTTCGCTAAGTCAATAATTGAGTCTAATCTGTATTAGCGGTCAAACAAAGTTGAAAAGGTTCAAATAATAGAATATGAATTATTTAAACTATTGATTAAGGTCATGCTAAAAGTGAATCTCAATCGGAGGAGAGACCACCTGTTTAAATGCCTTTAAAACCCAATGAAAATGCAAACATTTTTAAAGAAACTTAAACATCATCTTGATAACAACCGTTTGAAAGTAAATCTCAATCGGAGGGATCAATTTTCAAAATCTATCAAAATTCTAAATTTTTTTTTTTTTTTCAAAATTCAAATATTTAAAGGGAAATTAGTCTCCCAATAACTTGAAGCAAAATCATCTATCATACGTAATCATTTGACGAGGGTGATGAATTAAATAATAATTTTAGCTCACAAAGAGCAAATGTCCAATCATGAATATCACTAAAATTCATTCTTAAACAATCTCTCGTCAATAAAGATGTGTCATGTGTCCTTTAACAGATGGTTTAGCCCAACAACTCCACTTGATAAACAATTATGATCGAGTCCCTTTTGACCGATTAGTTTGGCCCACTGAATCTATTATATTATGGTCACGATCAAAACTCGTATGTTTCCCAATGACTATCAACCTTGAGTAATGAATCATAAGGTAAATTTTATGGGGCACAAACTTCTCTATTAGCTAAGATGACTTGAATTTCTCTCTTAGACAAACATTCAGATAAGCATTCACCCACATCTATAAGATCCCCTTATACAAAATAACCCATAGTTGTGGATAAGGATCTTTCGGTTATGTTTGGTCAATTAGCTTCTCTGACTAAGTACACTAGGAACTATGATAATCCGGGATGACAGAATCATATGATCTTGATTGGGTTCATCATCCAACATTCACTTTAAATGCCCCGTGATAAATGTCTAATCTCAAACATCCAAACTTCTTGCTACTATACGCTAGATACTTAGTGCCTACCTAACGATTAGCATTAATTGAAAATGCTCTCTTTATCTGGTGGGTAGTTAATCATACGGGCATGCGCCTATGAGAAACCTAAACTTAGATCTTAAAGTCCCCATTAAATGAGAGTGAAATTTTTAGGTTATCTTATTTCTAACCAGTTCGCCTTACAAAAATTTACACTGAAACTTAATCTATTAAAACCAATTTTTCTTGTTATATTCCCTTCAAACGACCTCTGATATCCTTTTTCGTCCATCCTTTAGTTACCTCGAGCCACCCAAACCATATAACTACAAATTCTCTCTTCTAAAGTGGGACTTAGGGCCGGAACAACAACTCGTTATTCATAGTAGTGGATAGGTCCTTCTGTAATTCTGCTTTCCACAACAAACTCAATAACCCATCGTTACCTCTCAATAATCCATCGGCATTTTGAAGAATTGAAGAACTTGGTTGATAGTGAAGATGAGGATTTACGAAACTTAATTGCTCGTCATCTTATATGTATAAATTCATTTAATTATTATTTGAATCTGCATTTCTTTTTGTTTGCAAATCTATTAATCATTACTTGGTCTTCACCAAGGAAGCTCCACTAAATTAGGACATTAGTCCACTTGTTGCTTTTTTTTCTATTTAGCCTACTTCCACTATATATTGAGCATTTATGTGCCGAAAAGATTGGTTCTTACTATATTTTTTGCCTGATGCTGTACAGCTAACACAAATTACTTATATGCTTATTTTGGGATACTTGATGAGTTAAGCCTTGGATTTATGATTGAATTTTGGCAAAACTATGTCTTTGATATTTGAAATTAATTTTAGTTGCCATCATTTTTTATTTTTTATTTAATTGCATTCATTTCATCTGTATTTTAATTATTTTTATAGCATATTTATATTTGTTGAACTTTGAATATGAGTACCTTGTTTGATATGCATATTAATCGTCATGATTATTTATTTCTTCATTCTATTATGTTTATTATTTTTAGAATACAATTGAGGGCTGATCTGATGTACTTGGAAAGAAATAAAATAATGTAATTAATGGTTGATTTGATGTAATGGTAAGGAATAATTTCTTCGCCTTTATTCATTTTCTATTTCATTGTTTGTTTGAAAGAGCAAAAGGAAGAATGTAATTCTCTTGTTCAAATTCTCTATGATATCATTGAGTGGATTTGGATCCTTGCATCCATCTACTATTTGACCTAAAAGATTTATATTTGCCATTTATCCAACATGCATATTATCTTCGACATACAATGGTACAAGCCCTCTTCGTCTACCCGGCAAGCCTTAAGATTCACTTTGCTTGACAATAATCAAGTTTTGAACTACATCAAATATTCTTCTCCACGTTGAGCCACCTTCACATGAAAATATTATTGGTTCTTCATATCGAGCCATTTTCACTTGTGTGATGGTGTCAGACCACCTCTTCCCTTAAGCCATCTCATGGCTTACCTTCTTCACTTGTGTCGCCCTCCATAGCTCGGCTATGTCGCTTTGGATATCAACTACTCCAGCCCTGTTGCATTCATCGCTTTCGTCTCTTGTCCTCGTAGCTAGTCTTCACAATTTCTCTATTGTGACTGCCTTCTTCAACTCTTTATTACATATTAACTTTTTTGTTTGGCTGCGTCTTTTCTCAATCATAATTCATCCTAAATAAGAAGCTAAGAACCTCAAGATTTTGGCCTACTTGGCAATGACTCTTAAGTCGCCCATCTCATAAAGCTGCTGATTCATCAATAAGGCTTTCTAATATTTTAATCTGTCGATCCCTTGCAGTCATACTTGCTTGCTGACCAATTTCTACTCCTGCTCCATTGATTTTCCTTCGTTGATTGTCGATCTTCTACAACCGTAGATTTGTC